ACACAAAATTTTGTATCGATCGGAAAATATTGGTAGTTTGGTGCACAAATTACATATAATGTGATAAACTATATATGAGAGAAATATATCTAAAACTGAACCAATTTCATCCAAACTTCACGTACACTAAACTGGACTTAAGTTAGTACGATGTGAACAATTTTGTCTCAATCAGAAAAATATTGGAGTTTTGGTGCACAATTTACCTAAAATCGGACGAAACTATATATGGGAGCTATATCTAAATCTGAACCGAGTTGCACAAAACTTCGCACACATCAATCTGGACCTAATATAGTAAGATGTGCAAAATTTTGTCTCAATCGGACACATTTTGCGAGTTTGGTGCACAATTTACCTAAAATCGGTCGAAACTATATATGGGAACTTACTATACCTCAATTAGGTCCTAATTCAGTACGCTGTGCAATTTTTTTAATCGGAAAAATATTGGAAGTTTTCACCTAAAATCGGGAGCTATATCTAAATCTTAACCGATTTCCTTCAATTTCAATAGGGTTCGTCCTTGGGCCAAACAAATGGGCTGTGCCAAATTTCATTTAAATCGGATTATAAATGCGACCTGTACTTTGCTCACAAAAATACATGGACGAACGGACAGACAGACATACTAAAAATTGAAAAACATATAAAAAAGTAAAAAAAAATGTCATTCGGTGTTGCCGACAGATATATACCCCCAGCCTATGATGGCGGAGGTCTACGGAATTACACACAAATTTTATTATTATTATCAGTACCAGAAGAAGTGCTCCAATCTTCGGACTTAATCTAGACTTCGTAAAGATAATGGGTTGTGCAAAGTTTGGTTCATAACTGGCATTCCATTCTCTGACATTGGATTTACAAATATTGACCCTCTGTGGGGAGGTACCAGAAATAGTCCCATCCCATCTTCAAACTTGATCTAGGCTTGGTAAAGGTAATAAATTGTACAAAGTTTCATTAAAATCGGATAGTCCGTTTGCATGTTATTTTAAAATTAATTTAAAGCACAATTTTGACCATTTTGAGGGGGAGGTACCAGAAGGAGTAAACCGATATTCCCCACCTTCGAACTAAAACTAAGTTTGGAAGAAATATTAAGATGTGCAAAGTTTGAAGAAAATGGGTTGCTGCCTTTGAGAGTTATAGTGCACACCAGGCAGATAGGCTGACGGACATGTGTAAATCGAATCCAAATTTTCTAAAACGGATTTGGGTCCAAAGAAACATAGGGTAATTTTATAGAAAATATCTACTCTCTGTGCCTGATATTTTTTTCTTATAAAAATGGAAACTGTCATCTGCATCGGGGAATTTGTTGTGTAGTAAAAACTCAGGCATCATTGTCATTATTTTCTATAAAAAAATGTGTCTTAAATATCTGAAGACTTTTTAAATAAAAATAAATATATGTTCGACTATTTTTTTAAACAATGGTTTTCTACATGGAAAAAATTGATTTATTTTCTGTTTAATTTTTTTTTTTTTTTTTTTGTATCAACAAATATGTCAAATTATTCCCCACACAATCTAAGCATAATACTATTCCCTTCATATTAACCAATTTCACATAATGAATACCTTAGATTTCAATCACTAACTGTAATTCGAAACTAGGTCCTAAAATTTCGATTAGTAACCGAAATTCGAAACACGTACAGCGTTTGATAAACTTTAAGATGTGTCGAAAAATTATGTAACACATTAAGCACGTACATACATACTATCAGTACTGTCATAAATACTGATTTATGTTTTTTTACATTTTTTCGGTAATTTACAAGATATTTGACATGTTATAGGCCTTTATTTGTATAAATGAGTTGAGATAATGTTGGGCGCCACATTTAGTAAAGAAAATACTGTTTTGTAAAGAATCAAACTGTCACAAACCACAAAGAGATATTTAAAAATATATACACATTTTTCAATGCTTAAAAATCAACATTTAAAAAAATATTATTTTATTAATTTTTTGTAATTATCTATTTCTTTTTGAGAACCACTTAAATACAACAAATGGCTAGCGAATTTTTTTCTTTGTGGTCAAAGTTCACAGGCATAAGTGAATGTTTCCTTTTTTAAAAAACTGATAAGAATTTTTAGAAAAATTTTTAATACTTTCAGGAAGAAGAAAAATTTCGCAAGCTATATTTACGAACATCGGTGTAGGTTGGCGCGTGTATATATATTGGCAATACGAGCAATTTATATGACATGGAAAAAAGGCATAATTATTATGACGAGCAAACAAACCACCAACCAACCTGCTAGTCAACCAACCAACCGACCGACAGTGGAGCAATGAATGGCTAACAACAATTATTATTTGTTTGCCTCTTACCCGTTTGCTCACACCTTTGGCGATCTGCATTGCTAGCCAGGCAGTTAGTACTCACAATACGACATAATGTATTGTAAAATCAGCTAAACGACGATGTGGCCTTATCAGAGATGGCCCATAAAATACAATTCTTGAGATAACTTCAAATGAAATCGAAAAAACAAGAGTTGATATTTGTTATAAATACCACTGCTTTTGGCAGCTAGCTTTCAGTGGGCCGAAAGTTATTGGCCATATTTGCAGAATATAACACTCCTCGACAGCAAAGGATCCTGTAAAGAGGTGCGTATAAAAAAGGTGGAGATCAGGTGGAGAGAGTGAAGTGGAAAAATAAATAAATGAATGAAAAAACATAAAAAGTGTTTTAGTGAAATGTTGTGAAATACATTAGAGTTGGAAAAAAACTGGAAGAAAATATAATTATAAAAATGAAAAATATATGTTTTTAAAAATATATAAATATTTTAATATATAAAATAATAAATAATAAATAACATAAAATAATAAATAATATAAATATAATATAAAAAATCGAAGAAGTCAATTCATAAAAAAATATATATTTTAAAAAAATCTTCAATTTTAAACGTGTATTTCAATATGAGGTGTTTTTGGTATTCAAAGAAAAATTACTTATTTTGAGATAAAATATTCGATGTTTGGTAAAAATTAAATAATGAACCACGATATCAGCCAAATGAATAACACGAGGATTCTTACAGGGTCATATCCTTTTCATGAAATTGTGCATAATTTCATAATAAATAATTTAAAAAAAAATCTACAATTACAAATGTGTATTTCAATAAGAGAGATAATATATCGGATTTTAAATTTAGTATTGAACAACAATATCGGCCAACTGAGCAACACGAGGAGTCTTACAGGGTTATATCCTCTTCATAAATATTTGCATAACCAAATCGCTTAGTGGCTGTCCTAACCTCACTAATTCCATATTTGATTTCTTTAATTGCCGCTGGGCTATTAACATAATCCTTACATTTATAAAATATGTTCTTCCAAGGACCATTACAAGTTTAGATATTTTAAAAATATTTTTTTGCGTAGATTTTTAAAATACTTTTTCCAAAGACTATCAAAGGCGTAGATTTTTATACCCTACACAACTATGTTGTCAGGGTATTATAGCTTTGTGCAGCCCTAAAATTACAAATAACGCTGCAAAATATTGGTAATAGATCCACCTTTATGTATATTGATCGTCATATCTCGACTAGCTGAGTCGATCTAGACATGTGTGTCCGTCCGTCTGTCCATTATATTTTGTAAACACGATACAGGCTACAGTTATGGACCAATCTTCACGAAAATTTGCATGTAGGATGGGTTCTGGCCAATGAAGATCCCTATTGTATTTGGTAAATATCGGTTAATATCTAGGGAATTTTTACATAGAGAAGGGGATTGGGCCATAGAATAAGCATGTCTGTTTTGATAAGGATCGGTCAATTATTAGCGGGTCAAATGGACCCTGACTTTTATGTGAAATATAACAAATTTGTATTCTATAGCTTATAGATTTACCCCTGAAGGACATAGACCCGAAAAGTTGTTGGTATATCCAAGGCCATCGATCTAGACATGTGTGTCCGTCCGTTCGTCTGTCTGTCCATTATAATATGTAAACACGATACAGGCCACAGTTATGGGCCAATCTTCACGAAATTTTGCATGTACGATGTCTTCTGCCCAATGAAGACGCCTATTTAATATTTAGGGGATGAAATGGACCAACAACTTCATTTTTGTCTGATTTTCTGGTCGCTCCAGAGGACGCAATTATGGCCCGAACATCGCGAATTTTGACATGGAGAAGGGGATCGGGCCAAAAAATAAACATACCTGTTTTGATAAAGATCGGTTAATATTAAGCGGGTCAAAAGGACCCTGACTTTTGTGTGAAAAATTAAAATTTTTTTATTCTGGGGCGTATATAATTGCTCCTGAAGGACATATACCCGATAAGTTGATAGTATATCCAAGAGGAGTTGTTGACCCTCAAATTGATACCAATTATATGGCTGTATGTACTCTGATGTGGGAGTTACACTTAAATATTTACAGGTGCGTACGTATTCAGATATTATTACCCATTACCACACTAGAGGGCGGAAATATAGCGCTGATCGCTTTGAAACGTTCCGTGATGTTCCTGTTATGGTCAAGTTTTTTGTGATGATCAGATAATAATATTGGGATGAAGTGGACCGAAATCTTAATTTTTGTGTTCTTTTCGAGTCGATTTATAGGCCACAACACAACTCACGGTGAAGGGGATCTGGACAAGTAATTAGAAAAGCTGTGCTGAACATTAGTAATATTTGTTGACCTCTATTTGGTCATGAGGGTGCAAATATCGCGAAGTTCAGAATATAGAACCACAGAAAGTTATATTTTCGTGGAAGTTGTGTAGGGTATCATATGGTCGGCTCCGTCCGACTATACTGCTCCACTCACTGGTTTAAAATACTTTCTCCAAATATCATATGGTCGGCTCCGTCCGACTATACTGCTCCACTCACTGGTTTAAAATACTTTTTCCAAATACTAAAATATTTTTATTTTTTAAGGACTTTAATAGGATTTATCAAATGTTCTACGTTTTCCTCTTTTCAGATCTTTCAAAATGAAGTTCGCTATTGTAGCTGCCTTGTTGGCAGTTAGCTTGTGCCTGAGCACAGCTGCCCCTCTTGCCGAAGAGGTGGAACCAATTGCTCCCTATGCTGAAGAAAATTATCGTTTACCCACCATCATTACACCCAGTAACTACAATATTACCCTGAAACCCTATTTGATGGACAGCGACGGTGCAAAACAATTCACTTTCGATGGTGAATGTTACATTACCATCAAGTCCAGTGTAAATACCAACAACTTGGTATTGCACAGCCGTAACTTGAAGTATACATTGCGTGAATATTATGCTAAGAGTAATCCAACACAAAAATTCACCCTCCCCAATGCCGAACCTAACACCGTCACCGATATTGTAACCTATCAATTGACCAATCAATTGGTTGCCGGTCAGGAATATGTTTTGCATTTCATCTATACCGGTACCATGGATGATGATATGCATGGTTTCTATCGCAGTTCCTATGTTGATCCCAAGGGTAACACTAAGTGAGTAGAATGTCAAAAACAAAAAAATTCTAGTCAGCTACAATTTTTTTCAAAAAAATAGGTTCTCAAATTGAGAGGATTTTTTTTTTTTTTTTTTTTGCTTCACAGAAAAAACCTCTTCGTCTGAGGAAGAGGTTTTATTTTCTGCACAAAAAATGCATTCACACTGTGCAGAGATAGACTTCAAATTTTATTCACAAATGTGTATTCTCTTTGCAGATGGCTTGGTTCAACCCAATTCCAACGTAATGAAGCCCGTCGTGCCTTCCCCTCATTCGATGAACCCCGCTTCAGAGCCACCTTCGATGTAACCCTTGTCCGCCACAAGAGCATGAAGACTTACGCCAACACCCGCTTGGCCAGCAGTACCACTGATGGGTAAGACAACATAGAACTCTACGAATTTTCCGAACATATTTCTAAAATATACTTAATTTCTTATATCCCCCAGTGATTACGTTACCGATCGTTATATGACCACACCCAATATGCCCACCTACATCTTGGCCTTCATTGTCTCGGAATTCAATGAACGTTTCAATGGTGAATTTGGTGTCATCGCCCGTCCGGAATTCTATCATCAAACTGAATACGCTTTCGATGTGGGTCAATTGACTTTGAAGGCATTCGATGACTACTTCGATTTGCCCTATTACTCGTTGGGTAACGATAAAATGCATATGGCTGCCATTCCTGATTTCTCTGCTGGTGCTATGGAAAATTGGGGTCTCTTGACCTATCGTGAACGTTCGTTGTTGTATGAGCACGGTTCGACCACACTGAGTGCCCAACAAAGTATTGCCGGTGTTGTTGCTCACGAACAAGCCCATATGTGGTTCGGTGATTTGGTTACCTGTGAATGGTGGAGTTATACCTGGTTGAATGAAGGTTTTGCCCGTTACTTCCAATACTTTGGTACTAACTGGGTGGAGACCCACTATCAAATGGATCAACAATTCGTTGTCGATCAAATCCAAACTGTCATGAACATGGACTCGACCAACAGCACCAATCCCATGAGCGATGAAAATACAAATACCAATGAAGAATTGGCCCGTATGTTCAATAGTATTTCCTATAACAAGGGTGGTACTTTCATTCGTATGGTCAGTCATGTTATGGGTGAGGAAAACTTCAAGCAGTCGCTGCGTGAATATTTGAAGGCACAGTAAGTATGAAGATATGAATATATATAGGATAGGTGATGTATGATGCATACTTTTAGGTTGCAGAACAGAAATTCTATAAAAAGAAGAACGGCATCTGGTTCTCTATAAGAAAGCCTTCCATAAAAATATAAAATTCACTCCAGGTCTTCTATGAAAAGATCGATCTTCCGAAAAGAAACCCTCCTGTTCTTGAATGATAGAATCATATTTTCTTCTATAAGAAACCCTGTTCTGTTCTTCCCTAAGAAGACCTTCGGAAAATCTACAAAAATACATTTTGATTTCATTTAAAAAATAACACAGTCCAGTCGTCTACAAGAAGGCCTTCAAAAATTCTATAAAATTCCCTTAAGGCCTTCAATGAGAAGATCTTCCAAAAAAAACCACTTCCAAAATTCCATTAGAAGACTTTCAGAATACATTTTTAATTTCCTTTAAATTCTCCAAATTCTATAAAATTCCCTTCAGGCCTTCTATGAAAAGATCTTCCAAAAAGAAATCCTGCTGTTCTTCAATGAAAGAACTGTCTTTTCTTCTATTAAAAAACATGTTCTGTTCTTCCCTAAGAAGACTTGGTTTGGGAAGACTTACCTCTATGGAATGGTCATCTAGTCTTCTATGAGAATGATATTCGGGTATTCTATGAGAAGGCCTTCTGGTCTGATATGAGGAGTCCTTTTGGTCTGATATGAGAAGACTATCGGACTTCTATGAGAATAACTTCTGGTCTTCTATGACAAGACATTTTGGCCTGATATGAGGAGACCTTCTGGCCTTCTATGAGAAGTACTTCTGGTCTTCTATTACAAGTTCTTGTGCTCTCCTATGAGTTCTTCTGGTCTTCTATATAAAAGGCCTTCTTGTCTTCCATGAGAAGGCCTTCCGGTATTCTATAAGAAGACCTTTTGGTCTGATATGAGGACGCCTTCTGGTCTTCTGTGATAAGGCCTACTAGTTTCCATGAGATGAACTCCTGGTCTTCTTTGAGAAGGCCTTTTTGTCTTCTATGAGAAGAGCTTTTGGCCTTCTATGAGAAGACCTTTTGATCTTCTATTAGAAGAACTGTTGACATTCTATGAGAAAAGCTTCTGATCTCTAGGAAAGGTATTTCTGGTATTCTTTTGGTATACAATGAATACAATTTCTATAAGAATACCTTCTGCACTTCTATAAAAAGCCCTTCTGGCTTCTATAGATAGTCCTACGTCTTCTTCTAGAAAATTTTCTGCAGCTCCTATTGTCAATTCCTCTTTCTCCCCTCAACAACTCAATACTAAAAATTACTGTTTTTTTCGCATTACCCTTCTAGCAAATTCACCAACACCGTTCCCAATGATCTGTTCACCGTCTGGAAGAAATATATCCCAACTCAATTCCAAACCTATGCCGATGGTCTCTTCAAGAGCTTCACCGAACAAGTTGGTTATCCCGTGGTCACATTCAACTTGACTTCAGCCAATACTTTGGTCATCAGCCAAAAACGTTTCTTGTTGAAGGAAAATGATGGTTCCGATTCCAAATTGTTGTACACCGTACCCATCACCTACACAACCAATGTTGAAAATGATTTCAAAACCACAACTCCCAAGTTGTTCATTACCCCCACCCAAACTCAAACCACTGTCACTTTGCCCAGTAATGTTAACTGGATTGTTGGTAACATTCAGGAAACCGGTTACTATCGCGTCAACTATGATGTCAAGTCTTGGCATGGTATTCACCACGCCCTGCTCAGCAACAACTGGGGTGGTATTCATGAATTGAATCGTGCCCAAATTGTCGATGATCTCTTCAATTTGGCTCGTGCCAGTGTTATCGATTACGATTTGGCCCTCGATATTTTGGCCTACTTGAAGACCGAAACCAACTACTTGCCCTGGACCGCTGCCTTCAATGGCTACAGCTACTTGGCTATCCGTTTGGGTGTTGACACCAAGGACTTTGCTGCCTACATTCGTGACATGACTTCCAAGGCCTACGACTTGTTGGGCTTCGATGAAAAGAAAACCGATACCTCTTTGGATATCTACAATCGTGCCAAGATTTTGTCCTGGTCTTGTAAATATGGCAAGACCGAATGTATCTCCAAGGCCCAGGAATTGTTCAAAAATTTGGATGAAAAACCTGTGCCAGTTAACATCCGTTCCGCTGTCTACTGTACTGCCATGCGTGAAGGTACCGAGGCTGACTTCGATAAATTGTTCAACAAATATTTGACTGAAACCGTTGCCACTGAAGTCACCTTGATCTTGAACAACTTGGGTTGTGTTAAGGATTCCAAACTTGTTAAGAAATACTACGACATTATTGTATCGGATAAGGTGCGTCGTCAAGATAAATCGGCTGCCCTCTCCAGTTTGTACAGTGAAAATAATGAAAATGTTGAACCTGTTTTCGATTTGGTTACTGCCGGTTATGAAGCTTTGGCTGAATCGTAAGTTCACTTCTTGTGTGAAGGTTTTCCGAATAGATTAACTAATTTCCGTTATTTTTTTTCCATTACAGCATGGGTGGCTATTCCTCTGTTGCCACTGTCATCTCCAACATTGCCTCCCGTTTCACCACCACCCAACAAGAAGCCAAATTGAAGAACTTCAATAACCAAAACAAATCGAAATTCGGTACCTCGGCCCGTACCTTGGAAAATGCCGAAAAGACTGTTGCCGAAAATCTATTGTGGGCCCAGAACAAAATGGGTCCCTTCAAGCAACATTTGCAAAACTACGGTAAGGGTGGCAGCGCCAGCTTGACTGGTTTCACTGCCCTGACCATGGTCTTGTTTGCCGCTTTGGCACGTTTCTTGTGCTAAGTGTAGAGTGGAGTGGAGTTTGGGGTTTTAGAAAAACCCAAACCCTTAGTTATGAATTTGTTGTAAATTATAATTGTTTAGTACTTAATTAATTAAAATAAAAAAATCGAAATTCTAATTTTTAAACAAAAAAATCTAAAAGGTGTTCTTAATCATAATCTCATCAAATTAAATAATAATACCAACCCCCACCCATCACCGATCACACATAATCTTATCTGGAATTTATACGGTTTTATTTTTAATGGCCGGCTGTCTAAACACCATCTATGGCCCAATAAATTGCCGTTAAATAATTGTTCAAAAAAAGCATAATCACTGATAGTCGTGGAGTGGTGTTATCGGATCATAAAAAGAATTGAATGCAGTCATGGCTAACTTAGAAGTATGACCGACCGGCGACCAATCACTGATGGTATTTGGTGCAAGTGTTTTTTTTTTTAATAATGAATATCGTTGTTGCTGTTGTTCTTCGTTTTTATTTTATCCCTGATTTAATATAGAACATGTCGGCTCTTATCACTAGAAATCATTAATCGATTTCCATTGATCGAGGGTAATAAATAGTATTTGACGGTGATAAAATAAATCAATATTTTTTCTTGTAGCACATGCAAGTGCCTTAGAAACTTACAAAAATGCACACGATAACTGCGAAAAAAACTGATAACGAAAATTTTTAAGCATGGATTTTGTTAAGAAGTATTTGACAGGGTCTAGAAGGCGAAATATTTTAAAAAGGTGTATTATATTATCGTATTTTATACCCTTTACCACACTGTGGTACAGGGTATTATGTCTTTGTGCATATGTTTGTAACAGGCAAACGGAAACGAGATAGGCATATGGTTCCTTTAGAGAATATACATAGCATCATTTTATAAGTCGATTTATGCATGTCCGTCTGTCTGTCCATGTTAAATTGTAAACAGAGTACAGGTCGCATTTTTGATTCGAATTGGATGAAATTTGGCACGGCTCATTTATTTGGCCCAAGGACGAACCCTATTGAAATTGAAGAAAATCGGGTCAGATTTAGATATAGCTCCCATATATATTTTCGTCCGATTTTATGTAAATGGTGCACTATCCTTCGATTTGTACGAACTTTGGTACAGCGTACTGAATTAAGTCCAGAAAGATGTGTGTTAAATTTCGTGAAAATCGATTCAGATTTCCCCATATATATATTTTCGTCCGATTTAAGGTAAATGGTATATCAAAGTCCCTTAATATCTTTCGGTTTGCACGAAATGTGGCACAGTGTAATGAATTAGGTCTAAAATGATGTGTGTTAAGTTTCCTGAAATCGGTTCATAGCTAGATATAGCTTCTATATCTGACCAAATGAAAAATTTGGTACCGTTTGCAGAATGACATATTTATGGATTCAATTTCATATTACTGGTCCTTTAAAAATGCGACGTCTGTTAGGATTCATCTGTTAAATATACCCCAAGTGGTGAAGGGTATCATATAGTCGGCCCCGTCCGACTTTATTACTTTCCTGACTGGTTTATAAATAGTTTTAGAAAGATTAGAAGACAAGTTTTTTTAAAAATATTTTAGAAGGTCTCTCTTTGAGCGCAGTTATTTTTTAAATTATTTTAGAATGTCTTTCTTTGAACATAGATATTTTTCTAATATGGACTGTATACACAAAAATTTGAATTTTTAGATTTTTCTTTTGATATTTGTCGTCCATAATCAGGCCTTGACATATGTAATCCAAAAAATATAAATTTATTAGCAGAGTATTAAACATAAGCTCTAAAACATTTTGTTGCCTGTGGGCAATATTGGGCCACAAAGAGTTAGGAAACCTCAATCTAGTCCAAAGATAGAACCCATCGGTTCACCCCATCTGGTGCCTCTCCCATAAGTTGTAAAATTTTTGAGAATTTATGAATCCAAAATTAAGCGAATGAAATGTAAGATATGATCACAAACTTTGCACATATTTGTACCAAACCTAGATCAAGTTCAAAGATGGGACCTATCGATCCACTCCTGCTGGTACGGCCCGCACAGATATTCAAAATTTTGGAAGTTTGTTAATCAAAAATCAATCGAATAGTTTCATTCTATTCGATCAAATTTGATTCCATATTAAAACATCGGAATATTTGTACCAGACCCAGATCTAGGATGAAGATGGAACCCATTGCTTAAGTCCGAAGCCGTGGTCTACTTCTTCTGACACATCCATATAGATGGTAAACTCTTTGATAAAATCTTATAAATTATATAAAGCGAGTGATAAATCTTGTGCGGTCTAACTTGGAAGACCTTTATATTCATACAAACCATACATATCGGTAATATAGTTCCATCATCTTTGGTACCACCCCAACAAACTGTCACAATTTTGAATAATTATAAGTTTAGCAAAAAAGTTGCTGCACTTCGACATATGGTAGTGATTCCGTAGCCATAGGCTGAGGTAATATATCTGTCGGCAACATTAACTAGTTTCATAATTTCTTTCAAAGAACTGAAAGATCCAGCCGAAGGTTTGGATAGTAAAAATCATATTAGGAAAAAATAATTAACTTTTTAGATATATGCATGGTCCTATCTATAGCAGTTTAGAGTTCAAGGTTATTATTCTGTTTCATAGATAACAATGGTGTGTATTTTTATTTTTATCTTTACAAAATTTTGAAACCCAATAATTCCGTTGTATGTATTCAGAGAACGCCGGAGAACAATGTAATAATCCAAATTCCGAACAAAAGAATAAGTTAAGATTGTAGCTGAAATCCAATTCTCTGAAATTCTATGAAAAAACTCCAGGGCTTTGATAGTAAATGAAAAAAAAAATGGACGGTTCTCACAAGCCCTAAAGTCTCACAAGCCCTAAAGACTGTAGCCTTAAAAACTATATTTAAGAAATCCACTCATGCAGATCTGTAATTTATCGAAAAACATGTTTTTAAGTACTTCACGTAGGTAGCTCTGAAAATCCTTGAAAACATCTACAACTGTAGTTTTGTCATATCCTTGGAAAACTATTCTTTAATTATTTTCTTAAAAAGTCTCAATTGGAAAAAATCCTAAAAATCCTCTCGTTGATAGTCCTAAAAAAGCCCTTAAAATCCACGCCACTGATAGTCCTTGAACCAATATATAGCTAAAAATTCACACCTGTTACTAAAACTCCTTCGGAAAATATTATTAAAAAATCAACGCAGCTGTAAATCCTTGAGAAAATATTCTTAAGTAGTGCAGATAGTCCTTAAAAACGAACACATATTATAAACCAGTTAGCGGAATAGTATAGTCGGACGGTGCCGATTATAAGATACCCTACACAACTACCTTGAAAAGCTAAATTTCTGAGCTTCTATATTCTGAGCCTCAGCCATTACTTACTTACTTAGCTGGATTATGACAGAACGTTTGCTCCATAAGCCGAGCTTAAAAAAGATTTCCAAGACCATGTTCCGAGATGTTGTCCTCTACTTGATCTTTCCCTCTAATTCGTGACCTTCTCCTTATACGTGAACTATCAGTTGGCTCGCTTTTATATGCCTTTTGAGCTGGAGCATCCTCATCCATTCTCACAACGTGATCTCGCCAATGTAGTCGCTGCAGCTCGATACGCCTATGTCGATATCCGAGAATAGATGGTATCGTCATTTGACGACAATATTCACCGCCGATGCAGATCGGCCCATAGATATTTCGGAAAATGTTTCCCTCAAACACTCCAACAGCTGAATCGTCTGCTTGCGCAAGTACCTATGCTTCAGATTCATACAACAGCACGGGTAATATCAGCGTCTTGTAGAGTGTGAGTTTGGTCTGGCGAAAGGTGGCCTTGCTTTTGAGTTTCTTATTCTCCTCCGGATTTCAAAGCTGATGTTATCGTTTTTTTCATGGCGGTACCGAGGTATATAAAATCGTTCACTACCTCGGAGCTGTAGTTTTAAAGTTCCACAGTTGGTCGGAATTTACTGGAGGTCTCGCGCGTTGATACCATCAACTTGGTCTTTTCGCCATTTACTGCCAGTCCCACTTTGACAGACTCCTTCTTAATTCGTTCAAAAGTGGCTGTTACCGCTCGCAATGATCGACCCATTATGTCGATGTCGTCGGCGTAGGCGAGTAAGATATGCTGTATGTTTGAGTCTCAGCTATATTTCGTGATATTTGCACCGTCTTAACCGATTATAGGTCAACAGCTCCAGATCCCCTTTTTAACTTTTTGTTTTCCTGAGGTGAATATTTACGGCATAAACTAAAAATCAGAATATTAACCGATCAGCATCTTAACAGCCGTTCTATGTATTTGGTCAGATCCCCTTCTCCGTGTAAAATGGGTGATCTTCTGCATATAATTGTGGCCCCTAGAGCGACTAGAAAATCTGACGAAAATTAAATTCTCGGTTCATTGCACTCCCTAAGTATCATTTCAACATCACCGAAAATTATAGGCGTCGTCCTTGACCATAACCGGAACTTCGTGCAAAATTTTAAAGCGATCAGCTCGACATTTCCGCCCTCTAACCCACTAGAGTAATACTAAACAATAACATAACACATATACAACTTTTAATATTTACGTATAACACCTACATCCTAGTAGCTCTGATAGTCCTTTGCGACACTAATAGTCCTTGAAAATGTTTTCCTAAAAATCCCCATCGCATCCTCTTATTTTACATTTTTCCTTCAAAAAATCGAGACTGGAACAAAAATTCCATAAGCTCCAATGTGTAGCTGCATAGTTACAGATACAGAAAATATTTACCACCAAGGAATTTCAACGTCATTACAACAATTTTCCAGACAGACATGAATTAACCTAATACTTGTACAAACAAGAGGCGTCTGGACTTCAGGAAGTTTGACGTTTTTATTATGACATTGCCAATTAATAATTTATGAATTATTTGTTTCAAAAGTCGTTAGCGACAAATTGAGGAATTCTTGTAGAAAAAATTGCTATACCAAATGGGTTTAATTGTGGTTGTTGTTGGGTCATAAAATCTTAT